ACCTTGGACAGTTGGGGTGCCATTCATTTAGAATCAGTGGACCTTGGACAGCTGGGGTGCCATTCATTTAGAATCAGTGGATCTTGGACAGTTGGGGTGCCATTCATGGACCGGCACCACCAACACACACATATAGTAGCTTCTGACACACCTGCACAACAAGGCACATCCCAGGTCTGTGGTGCATTGGCAATTATTATAGGTCTGCATTGGGGTGGCATTCTAAATGAATGGCACCCCAACTGTCCAAGGTCCACTGATTCTAAATGAATGGCGCTGCCAAAAATGTGCCGGAACGTTTCTTGGTCATTTAAGGTGGGTTTCCTCAACACAGCACACCTCAACAGAAGAAAACATCCGTGTTACGGGGCGCATAAGCATGAAGAGACCCTAAAGGAAACGCATTGTGTGAGATGCGGACTGACGTTACCGATCTCCTTCTGAAAATGCTAGTTGTCTGGCTTTCTATAGCTTCAAACCACCGACCTGGAAGAAGCACGGAAGAAATGAAAGTCAGATTGAAGTTAGAACTTCTGCTCTGCATAGGCATTGAAGCCCGAGGGTAGGCAACCAAGCCAGCCAGGCTACTAGCAGTTCATTAACTGGAGTCGCTTGTTTTCTGGAATTAGTCTTCAAGAGACAGCACTGGCTGTGGAAGGGAACCTCCGGGGAGCGGTTGAAATGATGAAGCACCACAGGCTCAGTGCCAGATGACATTTCAGTCCATCAGACCCCATACATACATGAGCGCCGGGTACTCTAAGAATCCAGACGTGTTAAAAGCAAAGCATTTACAAGGTGGGAACTCCCCCAACAAAGCGTCCACCTTGATATGGTTCTAGTCCACTCTACTTCACATAATCCCTCTCACTGACACAGCGATGGCCAAACTGCAGCCCTCCAGCTGTGGTCGAACTACGAATCCCATGAGGCTTTGCAAGATTCTCACAGACATGACTCCCGGAGAGAGATGCATCATGGGATTTGTAGTTTCACGCACAGCTGGAGGGCCGGAGTTTGGCCATCCCCGCACTAACCCAATGCACTGTGGAATTTGTGCACACGCTCCGACCTCCTCCCATGCGCCGTGCCACAAGGTATGTAGACGTTCAAAATTCAAATGTCACCGTGCATTCCTTCAGTAACTTTCAAGTGTGTGCACGTTCAGTGACAACGATCGGTTATAAAACATTGACGAAGCAAACAGAGGAGGAAGGGAAGAGTCATCACGTGGTTTACTGGCCATAGGGAGCAAATAGTAGCCAGACCCGTCTCTGTTGGGAACAGAGGCCGGAAATAGCATAGGGATACATTGGGATGCATTTTGGGTCCGGAAACAATCTGGTCTGGAGGTAATCTGGATGTGGTGTGAATGGGCTCTCGGGCCAGGAGGGTCCCCTTGCTCGGGCCAGGAGGGTCCCCTTGCTCCGGCCAGGAGGGTCCCCTTGCTCCGGCCAGGAGGGTCCCCTTGCTCCGGCCAGGAGGGTCCCATTGCTCCGGCCAGGAGGGTCCCATTGCTCCGGCCAGGAGGGTCCCATTGCTCCGGCCAGGAGGGTCCCATTGCTCCGGCCAGGACGGTCCCTTGCTCCGGCCAGGACGGTCCCTTGCTCCGGCCAGGACGGTCCCTTGCTCCGGCCAGGACGGTCCCTTGCTCCGGCCAGGACGGTCCCTTGCTCCGGCCAGGACGGTCCCTTGCTCCGGCCAGGACGGTCCCTTGCTCCGGCCAGGACGGTCCCTTGCTCCGGCCAGGACGGTCCCTTGCTCGGGCCAGGACGGTCCGTGTTCAGGCACTTCCTATTATAGGGTGAAAACAATAGGCTCAGTGTTCGTGGATTCATTCCTGAGACGTACGCAAGGAAACAATAGGGAGGAATACCCAGGAAGAGCCTGATATGTACACGTCACACGCATGATAAAAATAAAAAAACAACATACGTGGTGCCGTGACCGACACAGGACGTCAGCAGGTGTAATGCACTGACAGCTCCGAGAAATGAGGGTCAGGGGCGAGACGCCACAGCTGTGGCAGGTGACATAAGTCACACCTGCAGCGGCCTGCAGGCCAGGTTCACCATGAGTCAGTATGCTCACCCAGAGGGAGCGGCCTGCAGGCCCCCGGGCAGGCGTACTCCCTGTATACTCTATATACAGCGCGTTATGACACACACAATAGTCCCCGGGAACATCACATACATATTTCATGTGTTCACGGAGGACGCAATGTAACACAACGCTTTCCGTCACACGACCAATTAACCCTCCGCTGCCAGCGCACACCTCCCCGTGGGTTCCTCCA